AGAGCTTGCCACCTGGCTGGGCGTGGGGGCTCAGGCCTGTAATCTCAGCACTTTGGAAGGCCAAGGCAGGCAGATCACTTGAGGTCGGGAGTTTGAGACCAGCCTGACCAACATGGAGAAACCCCATGTCTACTAAAAATACAAAATGAGCCGGGTGTAGTGGTGCATGCCTATAATCCCAGCTACTCGGGAGGCTGATGCAGGAGAATCGCTTGGACCTGGGAGGCGGAGGTTGTGGTGAGCTGAGATCATGCCATTGCATTCCAGCCTGGGCAACAAGAGCGAAACTCCATCTAAAAGAAGGAAGGAGGGAGGGAGGGAGGGAAGGAAGGAAGGAAGGAAAGGGAAGGAAAGGAAGAGAAAGAAAGAAGAAAGAGAGAGAAAAAAGAGAAAGAAAGAAGGAAAGAAAAGAAAGAAAGAGAAAGAAAGAAAGAAGGAAAGAAAGAAAAAGAAAGAAAGAGGAAGGAAGGAAGGAAAGGAAAAGGGAAGAAAAAGCTTGCCGCTCAACCATGAGGAGCCTCTGGCCACGTTGCCTTCGGGCTCAGGTCGTTTGGTCTCTGGCTGAGCCTGTCACTGCTCTTCCCGGACAGCCCCAGGCGTTGAGCGGCCACAGTGGGTTTACTTGGGTTTACTGCGGCTTCTGCGTGCAGCCTTTGCCCTGAAACCCACTGTGATGTTGGCGGAGACTTTTCAGATCTGCGTGGACGTCTGAGCTTCTCTCTGCCCAGTCCCACTCTCTCCTCCTTTTCCTCTCCCAGGCCCCTGCCATCCAGTAAGCACTCACAGCCCTAACTCCACCTCAGCATTTGCTCACTGGAGGACTGAGCTGACACATCCAAAGTTCGCACCTCCCTCCCCCGACACACACAGAGCTCTAAGCCCCAGCCTCCGGGATAAAGCTCGACCCACGACACACACAGAGCTCTAAGCCCCAGCCTCCGGGACAAGGTTCGACCCCCGACACACACAGAGCTCTAAGCCCCAGCCTCCGGGACAAGGTTCGACCCCCGACACACACAGAGCTCTAAGCCCCAGCCTCCGGGACAAGGTTCGACCCCCGACACACACAGAGCTCTAAGCCCCAGCCTCCGGGACAAGGCTCAACCCCCTGACACACAGAGCTCTAAGCTCCAGCCTCTGGGACAAGGTTCGACCCCCGACACACACAGAGCTCTAAGCCCCAGCCTCCGGGATAAAGCTCGACCCACAACACACACACAGCTCTAAGCCCCAGCCTCCGGGGCAAGGCTCGATCCCGGACACACACAGAGCTCTAAGCCCCAGCCTCCGGGGCAAGGCTCGACCCCCCCGACACACACAGAGCTCTAAGCCCCAGCCTCCAGGACAAGGTATGACCATTTCAGAGCTTGTCCCTGGGCTTCATTTCCAAATCCGTGAAGTGAGGACAATTCTTCCTCCAGCACCTGCTCTCCTGTGAACTTGGTTTTCTTCCTAGATGCAGCTGTGGCCCCACCAGAACATCCCACAATCCCACGCCCAAGCAGTGCCAGGCTTCCTGCAGGTGACAGCCCGCGTCTAAGTCCCAGGCACAACCCTATTCCCCAGATGAGTGCAGGTGGTGAGACGTGAGGGGTGAATGAATGGTATTCACTGCACACTGTTACAGGAGGGATGAAGGGGATATTTCTTCTTCAAACGCCTGCCCAGACCTCTGCTGCCCTCCATCAAACCACAGCTTGAGTTAAGCTGCATCTCCTCACAGGAAGAACTGGCCCCAAAAGAAGGCGCAGCCTGGGGAGGTGGTGAGTGCTTCATATTCTTGGAGCTGTCAGACCCATTTTGGTCTTTTTTTGGATAAAGGCCAAAAGTGTAGGTCCCTTCAACTCAGAAGCCCCGAAAGCGAACACTGCCTGCATCCAGACAGCAATGTGGGAGGCTCTGGCAGGGGAATCCGGGAGCAGTGACTCCCCCGCAGGTGATTTCCCCACCGTGTCCTGGCCTGGCCTCCCCCATACAGGCCAAGGCCCCTCTGTGGCCCCAGCCCCCTTTCCACTCCACCACAGAACCCTGGAGCCCTGAGCACCATGGAGCCCTGAGCTGGGAGCCTTGAAGGCAGCAAGCACACGACTCTGAGAGGGGCTCGAGGGCTGGAGGAGGTGGGGGCGGCAGGAAGCCTGGCAGGCTCAGAGTGAGTCACTGCAGATTCTCTTCGTGCCGTGCCGGTTGTCACAGGGGATGGCAAGTGCCTCCACTTCTCTCTCTTGCCCGCCACCTCTCGCATCCTTGGCACCCATGATTCTGACACCCAGAAGGGATATGAGAGCTAGACACTAGGGACAGGTTTTAGGGATCCTGGAGGGGAGAGTTCAGAACAGACCACCCTAGGGAGGAATCCATGCAAGAAGGGCATGGGGGAACAGAGAGCAGGAGGTGACTGTGGCCCTCTCCCTTAAGCCTGGACTGGGAAGGCAAGGCAGAATCCAGAGGGGCTCAGGCTTTGGACAGGGTGGAGAGATGGGGTGCACAGGCTTCCCGCTCTCTCAGGTAGTCCATCAGCCCCACCTCTGCTTCTGACATCCCTCGTCCTCCAAGAAGCCCTCCCAGACCCCCTGGGTGCACAAAAGGATAGCTCCCTCAGCAGATTCCATGGGACTCCCCAAGAGTGGGCCACGGTTGAACCCCCTTCCCCCCAGTGCCTCAGAACACAGGATAGGACATTCGGGAGCAATTAGTTGAAACACGGTCACATTTAATGTTGGTTGAATTTTTTAGGCTTTTGTTTGGTTTTGCTATTGTCTTTCCACTCCTTTCACTTCTGAATGTGCTTTGTGCCCTTTGATAGGTAAGGAAGGGTGGATCCCCCCAGGGGAACAATTCTGAAAGATCAAAGAAGTGATTTTTATTGCAAAAATCTGCAAGGAAACAATTATTTCTGATTCACCTACTCCCTTCTTGGGAGCCAGGCCTCCAAAGGCAGCAGGAGGCCTTCCCAGCTACTCACTGCCTCCAGCCTGGCCATCCCTCCCCTCTCCAACAGAGGAGAGGGAGTGTGGGCCCCTCCAGAGCCAGAAGAAGGCAGCCAGAAGAAGGCACCCTCCCTCCTCACCCTGCCCACTAACCACCCATTGGGGGGTCACGTGGCAAAGTGAGGTCTACCTCTCCAATCCTTACCCCCATCACACACCCTCAAGTGTCCAAGAACCTTGTCCTCCAGGAGAGCAGGGGAACTTCACCAGCCCTAGAGGGATAGCACATTAATGTTGCGGTTTCAGCACCCTGCAGTTAGCTAGCCGCTGTGTGTGTGTGTGTGTGTGTGTCTGTGTGTTGAGTTGGTGCTGAGGATTCATGTGAGCCCAAACCCACAGATTTGCCCTTCACATAGGACACCATGCCAGCAGAAGTAACTCCCCAGAAAAAAGACACAATTCCACTGTCCTGCCAGGGAACTGAGGCCAGAGACGGGGTACACAGGGTCATAAGGGACATAAAGACCCCTGGTTTCTGAGCTAGCAGCAGCCCTCAGGGGTGTGGACAGCTGAGGATCTGTCTGAGGACCATTCAAAGGCTGCCACCACTGGGAGATTGAGTACAAACCCAAGAAAGGCGAGGACAGAGCCACCTCCACGGTTCCCAAACCGAAGGAAGGGCCTGTGTCCAGGCTCACTGATTATACCGGGAAGGAGGTCGAAATTGCAGGGAGCACAGCAGCTCCCAATTTCCCCTCTGGCAAGGGGATGCCCCCTCCACGTCTGTGCACAGCACAGGGCCTGGCACACAGAAAGTGATTAATAAATGTGCATGGAGATAGGAGGGAGGCATGGAGGGCGAAAGAAGAGCACGGGAAAGGAAAAGAGCTCGTGTGGGGGTGGAATGACAGCAGGAAGAAAGGGGAGGAATACGAGAGTAGACGAAAGTGCAGCCACGCCCTAAGAGGGCCCGGGCGCCCCTCCCCTCCCGCTTTCCCCACGCCCCTCAAGCCCATCCCAGCGCGGCAGCCGTAGGGAGGGAGGCCCTGGTGGGTCCTCAGGGAGCGCCCGCGCGCCTGCTGTTCAGCCAGGGCCCGGCGCTTGACCCCTTGCTGGGCGCTGGGACCCGCTGCCGTCCCCGCCTCTCCGCGGAATGCCGCCCCTCCTCCCGACGCCCTATCCTGCGCCGCAGCCGCCACGTCCAGCCTCGACCGTGCAGGCTCGAGCCCGCAGAAAAATGGCCAGCAGCCACCTGCGCTCGGTCCACAAGAAGACGCGCCCCCAGGGCGCAGGGCTGGGGACCCCGCTCCCCCATTGCAGGGACGAATAAAAGAGGAGGGGGCTGTCCCCGTGGAAGCCCAGCGCCAGACGCAGCGGCCCGGGGCCCGGGCGTCCCCAGCTGTGAAACGGGGAATGCGGGAGTAGGCCGGGGTATGTGGTTCCTTCTGGGTCCGCTGCGGAGCTGGCCGCGGGCTGGTGCAGGTCTGGCCCCCACGCGAGGGCGCTGGAACCTCAGCCCGGCCTCCCCGGGGAGGCGCCCGCCCAGCCCGCGGGTGCGGACACGCCTCCTCCCGGGAGCAGGTGCCCCGGCGCTCGAAGGGCGCCCCGCAGGTCGGCGGGAGAGGGGAGCGGGGACCCAGGGTCGGACCTCCGTCGCGCCCTGACGTCCCTCGCCGGCCGCCTCCGCGCCCCGGAGGAGTCGGGGCTGCTGGAAACGGACCGCACCGCCGACCGCCGCCAGCCCCGGCCACGTGCTCGCCCCGGGCGCGCCGGGAAAGCAGCGGCGCTTCCGTGTGGCGATCGGGCCGCGCACACCGGCCCCGCTAGGCGCACGGGTGGGAAAGCGGGGGCTGGCGGCGGCTCGCGGGGCGCGGCTCCGGGCGGGCAGGCCGAGGGGGAAGCGCGGGCGCCGTGGGGGGCCGAGGCTCCCGGGGGCCTGACCCGCCCTGGGGTGTCGGCTCGGGGCGCGCGGAGCTCTCGCTCCCGCGGTTCCCGGCCCCGCCCACACCTGCGCGGCGGCCCCGCCCCCGCCCGCCCATTGGCTGCACCCGCCGCCCGTCAGACGAGCCCCCGGGGCCCGCCCCCAGCCGAGCGGCGCCTCTTAGTGCCCGGCCCGCGCGGAACTGCTCAGTCCCCGGCGCCGCCACCGCCCGCCGCGGGCTCGGGGCCCACCATGCGCCCGCCACGTCCGCTGCCCGCCCGCTGGCTGTGCGTGCTGGCAGGTGCCCTCGCCTGCGCCCTCGGCCCGGCGGTGAGTGTGCGCCCCGCCGCCCAGATCCCAGAGTGGGGGGCTGAGGGTCGGAGGGTGAAGGGTGGGGGCGCTGGGGGTGGGGGCGCTGAGGGTGGTCGCTGAGGGTGGGGGGTTAGCGTGGGGGCTGAGGGTCGGGGGCTGAGGGTGGGGCCTGAGGGTGGGGGTTGAGGGTGGGGGTGCTGAGGGTGGGCGCTGAGGGTGGGGGGTTAGGGTGGGGGCTGAGGGTCGGGGGCTGAGAGTGGGCGCTGAGTGTGGGGGCTGAGTGGGGGCGCTGAGGGTGGGGGCTGAGGGTGGGGGGCTGAGTGGGGGCGCTGAGGGTGGGGGGGCTGAGGGTGGGCGCTGAGGGTGGGGGCTGAGGGTGGGGACGCTGAGGGTGGGGGGTTAGGGTGGGCGCTGAGGGGGGGGGGGCGGGAGGGGATAAGGGGGTGGCGGGAGCTGGGCCGTCTGCGCGTGTCTGTGTAAGAGAAATCGGGACACCAAGCACCTCGTCTCGCCTCCTCCCACAGCCCCAGACCGAATCTAGACTTGAAGGTTGGGATATTGGTCGTGCCCAGCCCCTCCCAGCGCAGCCTGAGACAGGCTCGGCTTCCGTGGAGGGACAGCGGGGAAGAGCGGGCCCCAGACTTGCATTCCCTGTAGTGGCTGCGGGTGTGCCGTGGGGTGGGCGGCCCGTGGCTGCAGGGTCACGTACGGTGGCCGATTGAGATAGAAGGTCTGGTACACCGCGGGTGGAAGGGAGGGTGTGAGGGTCATCCTTCGTGCAGTGCCCGTCTGGAGGTGTCTGTGGGGTGTCGGCAGCAGAACCAGTGCTGGGGGCCCCAGGATGTGAGAAGGGGTTCTTGGGATCAGATGAGTGACAGGCACACCCCTCCCTGTGCCCTCCCACCGAGCCAGAGCCCAAGGTGGAATCGGGTGGGCCGTGAGGGGCTGGGGTGGTGTGTGACAGCAGGAGCCAGGCCTGTGTGTGGAGAGCTGAGCAGGCGCCACTGCCCCCTTCCTCCTGCCTCTGCCTCCTCTCAGCATGGGTACCTGTATGCCCCTGATATGTGTGTACCCGTGTGCCCCATGTGCCCCATGTGTGGGTGTGCTGTGTGTGTCTTTGGATGGCTTACCTGGGCCATGAGGCAGATGCTGATTGAGGCAAGAGATGCTTGGGTCATCTCACTCTAGAACAGGGAGGACCTCAGCACTCATTGAGTCCTTGGAAGCCCATTTTACAGATGGGCAAAGCAAGGTCCAGAGACACGAGAGCCACATCTGTCTCCCACCAGTCAGACCTAGACAGAGGCTGATTTTCTCCCCACCCTACACTGTGAGTATTCTAGACTTGCTGCCTAGGCAGGGCCTTAAATGCCCACTCCAAGTTGGCTGGGAGAGGGTGAGGAATCTTGATTCTAGGTCATTCTAGCCCATGGTCACTTGCCTTACTATCACCCCCACCAGAGCAGGGATCTGTGTTTCCATCTAGCAGATGTCTTGAGCACCCTGGGGAGGGAGGCTCATTGCCTGTCCTAGGTGCAGACCCTCACTCCACCCATGACAGTCATGAGACCCACCCCCTGAGCACTAAAGCCTTATGAAGCTCTGTCCCCAAGGCCTCAGCCCTGGCACAGCTTGCATGAAGCCTCCAGGCCTCACCAGCAGCTCTGGCCCTCTCAACCCTGGCTTCAAGCTGCTCAGACTATTCTTGGATGAGCCAGGGGTCTTAGGACACCTGCTGACACCCCATTCCTCCATCCCGGGAGGCTTCTGAGCCCAGCGGCAGAGTGGATTCAGAGGGGCCTCCTTTCACACCAGGCCACTTCTGCTTCGTACTTCCTGAGGCAGCCCAATTCTGGATCCTCCTCGTCTTTCCACAGCTTACTCCTTTAGTGCCTGACTCTATCTCCTCCAGAAAGCCTTCTCTGATTGCTCCAGCCAAATTAACCCTTCCCCTCTAACCCAACCCTTCAGCCCTACCCTACCTCCCAGGTTGGGCTATTCTGGCTGTCCTAGGTCAGGGGCTGGGGTCTCTTACATCCCCATGTTCCTTACAGCCCAGTACAGGGGCTGAGCCCACAGAGAGAGGCGAAGGAACTCAGCCAGGACTGGGCGAGAGCAGGCTGGAGTGAGGGGCCTGCATTTCCCTCCCTGCTTTTCCCTCCTCCCCACCAGCTACCAGTGCTCCCTCATGGAATGGACACTAGGCAATCTTGCTGTAGCCGGACTCGGTGTGCCGGGGCAGGGAGGGTACCGGGAGTTATCAGAGTCATAAAATGGCAGCTGCAAAGTTCAGGTTGAAGCCCAAAGCCTTATCACTCCTGTTTATGGTGCCCTGACTTCAGCCTGGGAAGGGGAAGTCTCTGAACAGAGAGGCAAAAAAAAAAAAGGAAAGAAAACTCCAGTGTCTCAGAGGAGGAAGGCTGCCCCAAGTCCACCTGTCAAGCTCCCACTGCCCCTGTCCCTGCCCCCCAGACAGCAGGCACAGGGACTCCTCATCCAGAAGCAGAGCTGCTCAGGGCAATGAGCTAGCACGAGGCTAGTCCCAGCTACTCTGGAGGCTGAGGCAGGAGAATTGCTTGAACCCAGGAGGCGGAGGTTGCAGTGAGCCAAGATCGCACCACTGCACTCCCAGCTTGGCAACAGAGCGAGATTCTGTCTCAAAAAAAAACAAACTATTTCTGAAGAAGAAAACAACAGTTTACTCTCTCCACCACGTGTATAGTGTTTTAAATTTTTACTTTTATTTTGAATAAGCAGAGAGAATATTATAATGAATGTCTAAATACCCAATTCCTAGGTTTGACCGTTGTTAACATCTAACAATTAATATATGGTTCATTTGCTTTCTGGCTGAAGTATTTTAAGTTATAGACCTCCTGACTTTTTACCCCAAATAATTTCAGAATGCATATCTAAAACCAAAGGACATTGTTTTATGTAACTATAAGACTGTCATTACCCCTAACAAAATTGACAGGAATTGCTTAATATTCAAATATCCCCAGCCCGAAGGTGATGCAGCACCACAGGACGGGCGGTGACACTACCCAGGGCCTGTGTCTGGAGGGACTGTCCTGCGAGCTGGTGGGGAGAAGGCAGGGTGCCTCGGCAGTAAGCCTTGGGCTGGGCTCCCCTGGGCAGGACCCAGTCTTTCCGTGCAGCCCCTCTCCTGTGGCCCGTATCTCTCAGGAAGTACCTCCTGCTACCTAACTTCAGAACAAGTTATTGCTGCACAGCAGGTCACCAGAAGAGGGGGAAGAGGCCACCAAGCAACCTCCATGTACTAAGGACTCAGCCTTGTGGCTGCCTTTGCGGGAGCCCAGCCCTCTGCAGGTGGCTCCAACATCACTCAAGGGGCTGTTTATAAGCTGAGTCTTGCAAACTCCCTAGGTGTGGCCCAGGTCACAGTCAAGCAGCAGAGGGTTTAAGCTAAATGCTTAGTCTGTGTCTGCTACACCTGTTTCTTTAGCTGTCATCGCAGAGATCCTCTGCAAATAAAGGAGGCCGCCCCAAAGGAAACCTCCCAAGAAGAGCCCTTAGATGGGAGCAGGCTGAATGTCTCTGCTTGGGTTCTGCTAGTCACGAGAGCCCTTGTCCCAATACCGCTCTGAGAGGCGGGAAGTTCTCACCCCAAGCCCGGTCCTGTATCCCTGCGTCTCCCCACACCCCCCGTCTCTCACACAGCGGTTCTCTGTCTACTCTTCTACCAGAGCTCAGCCTTCCCCAAGAGGAGGCGTAGCTGGTCAAAAAAAATAATAATAATGGATTTGCAGTGGGGAGGCTTTGGGCTGCTGGCGAAGGGGTGTAAAATGCAAGGAAGAGAAGAGAAATCAGCAGGGGTGAAGGGAACTGGCAGATGTGGTGGGCGTGGCTGGCACCTGTGAGTGGGTAGACCTTCAGCCTGCCGGGGTTACGAAAGGCACCACGGCTGTGGCTAGGCTTGGGTGTGGACAGCGGGGGCAGCCTGGCACGAAGGTGGACACCAGCTTTGGCAATCACTGCTAAGCCGCTGGCCAGCTCTGGTACCAGGCTGGTGTCTTTTACATGTGACCCTCAACCTCAGTTCTAGAAGTAGTTGTTACTGTTCCTGTCCCCATTTGATAGATGAGGTTGAGTGAACTGCCCGAGTCATCCAGCCAGGAAGTAGCAGGCAATCTCATTCTGGAACCTGGGTCTAAACTGGGGTCTGTCATCTCATGAAGAGGGGCTACGGCTTCCATGGAGGGGCATGGCATGTCACATGCCACCCTGGGACTTTAGATACTTTTAAAATTAGTAAAATGTACAAATCTGAATTGACAGCACAGTGAATTGTCACATATGTGTACACCTGTGTCACCACCGCCCTGGTCAAGCTATCACACATTCCCATCACCCTGGCAGGCCGCTCATGCCACTCCGCAGTGAGTTGGAGTCTTCCTTTGACTTCCTTTCGTGCTCTCTGCAAAGCTGGGAGCGGGTTCCTCCTCTCTTTTGTGACTCCTGGATCCGTGAGCCACCTTACCTTCCTGTGCCCTTTACCCGCTCCCTCCCTGCCCTTCCCTCCTCCCGCCTTTTCTCTCCTTTCTCCTCACTGCCTCCCAATTACAAGATCTGTGCATCCTACCCACATGCAAAAGCCAGCAAGGACGAGACACTGAGCTGCCGTCCCGTGTGCCCATAATTAGTTTTCTCTCTGGCTCCTCCAGTCCTCCGTGTCTCCTTTTCACCCTGTGATTTCAGCGGGGGGCTGATGGGAGAGTACATAAGTCATGAGGTGTGAGATGGTTTCTGTAAAGGGCTGGAGTAACAGGGGAGAGGGCAAACGGAACCACTCCGAGTCCCCGGTCCTCTGCTCCCCATTCCTCTGCCTCCTCTAACAGTCACAGGCAGGGAAGGAATTAAAAAGCCCTCTTGACAAACCTCAGAAGCACAAACCATCCCTGGAGGCTCCCCAGGCTTGACAGTCTACAGGCAGTTCTTTCTCCTGCCTCACCTTATCCAGCCTGCGGCGTTCTGTGCTCCTCAGAGGGACGCTGGCTTCCTGCTGTGCTGCTTGGCTCCTCCTGCCCCAGATGATGAGGCAGTAGCTTGAGGGGACTGAACATGACCTGTAAACCTGAGCTGGGCCCACCCTGCCTTTCAGAAGCCCTCGAATCTAACAGCGCTCAGCATCCTCACGCCTCCCCCACCACCACTCCTAGCCTTTGCTCCAGGTCTCACGTAACCCCACACGGGGAGAAAAGCAGGGCTTTCTCTGCAGCCCCTCACGGGATCCTGTGCTGGACTCAACTCCGAAAAGTAAGCTTAAAGGGAGCCTGGCCCTGCAGCTGAGCTGAGGCTGGAGAGTTTTGGGCCGGGCTGGGCTCTCAGCACCTTCTTTAGGACAGTTCCTAAGCCCAGAAGAGACCTAGGCAAGACCCAAGAAGTCCAGAGCATCTCCTCCGTCCCGTCCCACGCCATGGTGTTCGCTGGATATGGGAGGTGAATGACAGGGAGTTGGCAGGAGAATCCTGAGTCTAGTTGGAGACAGGAACTAATCAAGTGTTCATTCTACCTGCCCACCCCCATCCCCCTCCTCTCTAACCCCCCTCCTCTCTAACCCCCCTCCTCTCTAACCCCCCTCCTCTCCATCCCCCCTTTATGCTCCTCCTCTCTGTGCCCCTCCTCTTTATCCCCCTCCTCTCTATACCCACTCCTCTCTATCCCCCTCCTCTCTGTGCCCCCTCCTCTCTATGACCACTGTCCCTCCAGGCTTCATCAGTTCCTGCCTGGACTGGTGCAGTAGCTTTCAGCCCCACCACCTGCAACCTGAGGGATCTTTGTGAAATGTGTATCCCCCAACCTCAGCCTCCTGCTTCAAATCTCTGTTGGCCCCCGTGGCCTAAGAGTGAAAGCTGACACTTGAAAACTGGCATTCCGAGTCCTTCCCAGTCCTTCCCAGGCTGCATCCCCCGTGTCTCCCGATGCCCCGGAACTCCTTGCTGCAGCGACACCAGGCTTCTCGCACCCTTGCATGCATCAGGCCTCTTCACGCCTCCATGCTTGTGTGCACGCCGCTCTGCTTGCTGGGGTGCTCTTACTCCACTTCTAAGTCACAGATCCTCCATGACGTACGTCTGCGGAATGAGTTCAGCCTGCCCATTCTGCAGGAATCCCAGACTCTAGCTGCATCCCACCCTGGAACACTTCCCTGGCATCAGTAGACTTGGCTATATTCAGCCAGGGAATTTTCCGACACTGTGTGCCTGGAGTCCAGAGGGATAATGAGGATGTTTAGAATAGGGAAATAAATAAGTGGGAGAGGAAGTCCAAAGTCTGCCTGAATTCCTCGGTGATAAGGACTAGAGGGAGCTGCCCTGGCCCGGTCCCTCAAAGGGCAGTGGTTGGCCAGAGGGCCGAAGGCCAGGCTGCGGAGAAAGACTGATGCAGTCCAGACCAGTGGTCAGAGACCGAGGTCCCAAATGGGAACGTGTGTTTGCCGGGTGATGTCCGGTCCCTCTTTGGGTCTCCATTTCCTCTACCCTTCTCCAGATAGGGCTCAGCACTAAACTCAACTGTGGCAAAGACAGAGCTCATCTTCCAGACCACACCCACTTTTTCATAAACACCACAGGCTTCTGCACCCACCCCTCCCTCCTCTCCAAACTGCCGCTCAGGAAGGGCGCTGCGGCTGTGCTGCTGGGGGAGCAGAGTTGGCTGGAGAAGTTGGCCCAGCACCCTTCTATCCTCAGAGTCGCAAGCAAATGCTGGCAGAAACCCTTGGCGCCCATGGTGATCGGGAAACAAATATTTATTGGCAAACTACGTGGCCATAGTCCTGGCTTAAGAGGGCCCAGAAACTGAGGGTGCCCATTGTCCTGTCCTCGGAAAGCAAAGCTGAACGCTTTTGTTTACAGCAACTGGCAGAAAACGCAGCTGATCCCAGCTGTAAAGAAAAGGTATCGGCTCACGTTGCCAGCTGTAGGGCAAGTTTCAGGCGTGGCTGCATTCGCAGCCCCAGACAATGTTAACAGGACCTGATTTTTCTCCATCTCTTCTGCCTCAGCTGTGTGGCTTTCATCCCTGTGTTCCACTTGTCAACAAGAGGTCAGCAGAAGCCCAAGCCCTTGCTTCCTTTAAGGCTTCCAGTCCACTGGGAAAAAGCAAATTCACTTGCTTAATCGCTTAATCCAAAGTCCCAGGAGGGAGCCTCCTGGCTCTGAGTAGCCTGACTCGGGCCGTGGGTCAGGCATTGTGGCCGAGAGTGCCCTGGGCGACTTAAGTCTCGGTCACATGTCAGTCTCCCGGAAGAGGGTCCATCAGAACTCCATGAACCAGAGGTAGGGAAGGAGGTAGTTTCCCAGACACAGGTGAGGACATGGCACAAGGAGGGAGAAAAGGGTGGCAGAAGGCAGAAGCGACAGGTGTCTGCTACGTCTGTCCTGCTTTCACATCACAGGATGATGAGAGGCGAGACTGGACAGGAGAATCAGGAGAGGCTGGGAAGGGGCCAGAAAGTAGAAAGAACCCTGCTGCTGGTGGGAAATGGGGTTGGGATGGTACCCTGGTGAGACAGGTGCTCCAAGACAGACCAATGATGGGACACAAGGCAGAGTGGCCAGGACCCAGGTTCCTCTTCCAGAAGCCACCTCTGAGATCTACCTGGCCACTCCTCCCCCTATACTTGAGGATGAACCAGCCACAAATCCCTGGAGACATATCAGGGATATGTCAAATCCCTGAGCATGTCAGCCTAGTAACCCTTATGGGAAAGAGAGGAAGCACATGACCCCAAAGAGGAGCCACAGACAGAGTTTCCTTGAAGTCTCCTATCTTTTAACAGTTATACGAATAACTGTATCAAGCTTCATCACAACACTGTGTTACTTTCAGTAAGTTGTGAATGACTTCCCAGCTAGTGTCCTTACCCCTGCTGGCTGGTAAAGGTGCAGGACGAATCTGGCGTTCACGCGTGGCTTCCGGGGCAATGGCACGCAGGCAGGTGGGGTCAGGGCGCTGGGGAATCTGAAGGAGTCCTGGAGACGGAGGCCCTCCCTGGACCTGGGCAAGCTCAACCCTGGTGCTGGCTGCTTCTGGGAGAGCTGGACTCCAGGTGGCCTGTGAGACAGAGGCTCCACCACCGAGCCCTCAGCAGGAACGAGAGCTGCCAGGGTGGAGGGGCGTGGTGCGCACCCTTAGGTGCACTTCAGCCTGGGCCCCTCTCCCTCTGGCTGGCTGGCTGCCAGCGGGGATGCACATCCCAGTAGATGGAGCTGATTTACTTAGAACAGTGGTCAAAGTACTAAGCACTTTGATGCCTGCAGGCCAGGAGGGACCCCCTGAAAGGAAGGCCCCCCCCCCACCTATGTTCTTCCCACAGATCCACTTCAAGAAAGCTCTAAGTCAGCAGGGAGGTGGTTGAGGCCCATATAGCTTACAGAGAAACTGAGGCCCAGGGAGGCAAGGACTCTGTCACAGGGTGGGCGGGACACGTTGGAGGAGACGCTGAGAACGTCCGATTCTGGATGGTCTCGCTGGACTCTCTCCTATGGCCCTGGTGGAAACTGACATTGTCCTCCCCAGGCAGAGATGGGGGAGCTGGTGTGGGGTTGCCGGGGCCAGCAGCCACTCTTCTAAAGCCACAGACGCAGAAGCTGCTGCCAGCCCACTTTCTCCACGGAGGCCTTCACCCACCCTAACCCACCTAAGAGCTCCCACGACCTGTTTTTTCTGGCTGTTCCTAGACATCCATCACCCCACCCACATGTCTTCCCCAAGGTCAGCATCCCCTGTCACACTGGTCTGACCCTGCTCCCAGGCCAGGGTTAGGGAGGGGAGAGGAGAAGCTTGGGCTTTTCCATCCCTTCTCTCCGTCTTCCAGAGGCAGAGGAAGCCTGCTGGGGTCCTCAGGGGACTCTCTTCCTTAAACCTCCCCACCCTCAGCAGATCTGGTATAGCTTGAATTATTTAGAGACCGAAAAGGAGGCAGGTGAGGTCTGGGCAAGGAAGGCCACAGTCCCCTTCCCAGCCTGGTGACCCGGGGACTGAGCACAAGATACTGGAATGACAGGGCTGGAAAATCAGCTAGACTCCTGGATTCTTCCCAGGCCTGGCCCTGAGAGCCAGAGGCCAGTATCCAGCTCCACGTAACAGTAATGGCATGAGCTGGTCCCTCACCAGGGAAACCGAGAGAGGGACAGAGGACACTCAAGCCAAGCTGGAGAGTGGCCGAGTCCAGAGGCAGCTCCGGCCTCTGAGAGGACACCCTCTTACCGCTGTCTGGGGTTGTGCCACCCGCAAAGAGACGACGCTGTCGCAGCTGCAGCACTGTTGCGGGAGCCAGCAAGGAGCTGAGGCAGGGTCCTCAGGGCCCACCCAGGCTGGGACAATGACAGCAGGTTGGGGGAGATTCGGGTCAGGCTCCAATTTGGGTCTGGGGTTGGGACCTCCTCCAGGAAGGGCAGGTGTAGCCCAGGGGTGGGCCTGGTGCGCCTGAGTCTGTGGACGAGGCTATCGGCCCTTCCTGTCTCTGTCCCCAGGGCGGCTGGGCGGCCAGGCTGCAGCAGGAGTGTGACTATCTGCAGATGATCGAGGTGCAGCAGAAGCAGTGCCTGGAGGAGGCCGAGCTGGAGAACGAGACAGCAGGTGAGGCCCCCACGAGCAGAGTGGGGCTGCGCGCCCCCAAAAGCCTGCGTTTCCTCATGTCGTGACTGGGATCCAGGTCACGTCCATTCCATATTTGTTGGATGATGGTGATGAGAGGCTGGGGAGCCAGATGGAAGAAGAAAGGGGCTAACAGGCCTTCACTTTCCCATCACCCCACCCGAGGTCTGGGGAACCCCCAGCCAGGCTGAGGAGGACCAACTAAACTGGGGCTCTGCCAAGTACATGGAGCCAACTCTGCCTTTGGGGGTCCCTTAGCCCTCCAGGAAAAGCGAAGATGTCCATGGCTGCTACCCACCCAGGACGCGAGGCCAGGGTGTTGTGTGGTGGGGACCTGTGAGCAGTGCAGGGAAGGCAGTTTCCAGGAACCCCTGGAGCTGGCATGGGGAGAACTAGCCCCAAAATACCACACTCCAGGATCAGAGCATTGTACTGCATCTCCGGGGAAGAAGAGGGGACGTTCAGTCACAGTATATGACCTCCGCAGGGACCGTGTGGAAGCTCAAAGCCATATTGGTGATCCAGAGCAAGAAGGGGCAGGAGTTTTGTCTGCACAGATGTGAAACCCTCACCACAGGCAATCCTCAGTCTGGAAACTGAGGCCCACTCCTTCCTCTCAACCCCAGGCTCAGGCTCTGCCACACCCAGAGGACAGTGACCACACACACACAAACACACACACACACACACACACACACACACACACAGGCCCAGCCCCTAAGCATACACACACAGGCACACACACTGGGCTCCCCATCCCAACCCGCCCTGAGTGGCCAGTGAACCATCGGCTCGCTGTTTGGCTGATGAGCCAAGTCGAGGTCAGCCCCGCAGCTGAGCACATGAGGGCCCAGCCACTCCTCAGGGGGCGGGAGGGCTCCACCTGGCAGTGTGAGGAGCGTGCCCCCCTGGCTAGACTGGACAGTGGTGCTGTCAGTGCAGATGACAGCACCCCCCTTTCGGCTCAGCAGCCCAGGTTCGAATGGGTGGAATTCCTTGGTAGCACTTGACCTAGACTTGGAGGGGTGAACAGGTTTGGGGAAACAGAGAGGCTGGAAAGGTGGGAGGTGCCAAGGCTGACTTCTCATAAGGAGTGGGCGTGGCTGTCAGGTTCAAGTCTCACTGCCAGGGAGGGCGGCCTGGCGCGTCTGGGCTGGAGGCAGTGAGGCGGCTCCCTCTGCTCCGGGCCTCCGTCCCAGGCCATCTCCTCTCCCCGAGGCTCAGCCTCCAGTTATGTAACAGCCCTGCTCAGGAGCAGGGAGCATCTTTACGTCTTCCTGGCTCCCTAGTTCCCCTTCCGGCTCCCTCTTCTTGGCCCTGGTGCCCAGGCTGCCTGCCTCCTCCTCTGCAAGTGAATATGTATAGGCTCACGGACGGGCCTTGCCAACCCCGGTCTCAAAGCAGGACAATGCTTTGACTCTAGGGCCCAGAGACCGAGGCATGGGTCACAGGTGTCTGAACCTGCCCCCTACCTGCAGGCCCCGCCCACCCCACCAGTGCAGAGAGCCAGGCCCAGGTGCAGACAGGCACACCTGCCAGGCCTGGGGCAGGCCACCCTCGTGATTCCGATGAGGTCACTCCTGGCACAGCGTGCCCATGGAGTGCCAACACCCTGTGGCCAGCAGCCACACTGGGATGCAGAGAAGGGCCAGTGTGGGTTGTGGCCGTGGGTCCGCCCGTGGCCTTGCGTGGGGCGCTGCACCTGTGCCTCTGGGGTCTATCGCTCTGCGTCTGACTCTGAGTAACTATGTGAGTCAAAACCGTGTGTCTGTTGAAGCCTGGACACTTGCCATCTCTGGACACGCCTGGATGTGTCTGCCCGGTGGCCGTGTCTCGTGTGTCGGCTTGCGTGTCTATCAGTGTGCTGTCTCATGTGTCGGCTTGCATGTCTATCAGTGTGACGGCGGCACACCCTGGCCCGTCTGTCTCCACAGCTCTGTCTCTGTGAGCTGCGTGTCTCTCTGCCCATTGCACAGAGAGCATCTTTCTACGGTCTTTCTGTTGTTTCCTTTCTGTGTTCCACGTGCATGTTTGTGCTCCTGGCGTTCCGTGGACCGGCACGGACACGTCAGTGTGTGTATCTCTGTGTGCACACAAATCCACAACGTGGTGCAGCAGGGGCCCCACCTCGCTTGCCTCACCACCCCTGACCCCAGGCTCTGGGTTGGGTTTTCCTGTGGGGTCACAGTCCACCCGTGGGCACACATAGCCAGCCTGGGCCCTGAATTTCTGTAGGCCTGGTGACTTGTGTGATGGGACCTGTGGAGCCTTGTTAGGCCATGCACAGAGGAAATACTCCCAGTGCCCAGCCCGGGACAACAGGTTGTTCCAGGCACCAGGTATATTCGCATCTGTCCCCCGTCCCTGCTCCCCCAGCCACGCCCCTCATACTGGCCTCCCGTCCTGCTCCCCTGCCCTGCCGGCTGCCCCACACCCCAGCACCAGTTCCCAGACCAGCCTTGGTTGTGCTGAGATTTCTTGAGGCCAAGTGTGGCCTCCCCAAGGGCAGGGCCTGGTTTCCTCTCTTCTGTGTCACCGCACTGAAGCAGAGCACGGGACCAGAGGCTCAGCCCCAGGTTCACTCCCTGGCCCGGACTGGCAGCCAGAGGTTTACAGAGCCCAAAGTCTGGCAGGGACCCAGACACAGTAGCCAGCCTACATAACAGGATATGCCCGGCGCTGTCAGAGAGGGGTAAACAAAGTCCAGCAGCAACCCAATTCCCCGAGAAATGACAGCAGCCCTTCCAGCCAGGACGAGAGGAAATGTGTGAACGACCAAGCCTCTCACCAGCACCGTGGCCTGGAGCGGGCTGTCTGATTACGCTCTGCCTCCACTTCCTCATCTGCGAAATGGAAGCTTTGCATAAGTCATTCATCTAAAGCGCTCAGAACAGAGCCTGGCGCATGCAAAGGTTATGTAAGTGTTTGCTGATATTCATAACAGGGTATTGAACCCCCAGCAGGGTTTGACCAACCTGAAGTGCATCTACTCGGCCTTCAGAGAGGCTGGCCCAGAACGGAAGAGGGATTGGCAGCCAACTTGAGGCCACAAGAGCCCTCAAGCCAGGCCGGGGGGAAGCACTCAGGGTCCATGAGCAAGGGAGGCTGCAGTCTCCCGCCAGGCCCTGGGGGCCCAGGTGTCCTCCTCAGCCGTTGGCCACAGGTACGGCCAGACTGCTGCAGCCCCAGAAGGTGCCCCTCACTGTGTCCAGCCTGCTCCAATGCACAGAGTCCCCAGGATCTTCCCCAAGTAAGGACATCCCTTCACCTCCTCTGCCCAGACCCCCTTCTTGGGAATTCGGGAACTTTCGGACCTGAGCTGGGCTGGGCTGGGCTGGACTTGGCCCAGCTGGCGTTGACTTTGGCCCAGGGGTTGGGTTTTCTGAGCAAACCTATGAGACTGGCAGGATTGCAAAGAGACAATTAAGCCTCCTGCATGGGAGGGTCCAAAGCAGTCCTAGTCCCTCAGGGGCGTGCAGCTCCTGAGCAGAGTAAATGATGGCATTTGCATGTACCTATTAAAGCAGACCCCTGGAGACCCCACTGTGGACCTTGCGCTGGCCAGGCTCTGAGAGCTGTGGCAGAGAACGCAGCCACCGGGCAGGTTCCCCTGCACCTGCCCCTGCCTGTTCTCCATCACAATTCACCCTCCGACTGAGTTGGGGGAGTCTGTGTTGTTCAAAAACTAGGTGGGGCCGGGCGTGTGGCTCACACCTGTAATCCCAGCAATCTGGGAGGCTGAGGCAGGCAGATCACTGGAGGTCAGGAGTTCGATACCAGCCTGGCCAACATGGTGAAACCCTGTCTCTACTAAAAATACAAAAATTAGCTGGATGTGGTGGCGGGCACCTGTAATCCCAGCTACTCAGGAGGCTGAGGCAGGAGAATAGCTTGAAGCTGGGAGGCGGAGGTTGCAGTGAGCCGAGATCGTGCCATCGCACTCCAGCCTGGGTGACAGAGCGAGACTCTGTCTCAAAACGAAAAAGAACTATGGACCCCAATATACCCATCACCCCATCATAAACACCCCCTTTTTGTAACAAACATTTTCCAATGCCTCCGTTACTATCATAATACAAAATTCAGGACACAGACCTATCCACTTTACTAAAAATAATGTTCTAGCTACACTGTAAAATAAATATTAAAAGGAAAGTAATTTATAAGAAAATACCATGTACATATTCAAGCATAATCACACTAAAAGAAGACATCGTCTGAAGGCTGTAGCTACAGATATAAATCCTGGCAGTGTGAGAGCCACAGATGCAGACTGATGCCCACAGGTGTCGCCTCAGTGACTCCAGCGTCCAAAACCTTGAACCACCCACAGTGAAGTTCAGAACGAAACAAAATGCCATCTTCCCTCCCTTTTCTCCGTGGTTCTGTTTCTGAAAAACTCCATGTATGTTAAACTTGTGCAATAAATAGCTTGTGTTGGCCGGACCAGGTGGGTCATGCCTGTAATCCCAGCACTTTGGGAGTCAGGCGAATCACTTAAGGTCAAAAGTTCGAGACCAGCCTAGCCAAAATGGTAAAACCCCATCTCTACTAAAAATGCAAAACTTAGCTGGGTGTGGTGGTGTGGGCCTGTAGTCCCAGTTACTGAGGAGGCTGAGGCAGGAGAATTACTTGACCAGGAAGGCGGAAGTTGCAGTGAGCTGAAATTGTACCACTGCACTCCAGCCTGGGCAAGAGAGCAAGATTCCGTCTCAATAAATAAATAGTAACCTAAATGGCTTATGTTTATATGTAAAATAGTGAAAGAGTCCAGGCTGCGTTCATTACAAAAGGTTTTCACCTATACAAATGCCCGGTGGCTCATCTGGAAGCCATGCAGAATGTGAGAAAATTCATCCCTGTGCAGAGTGCAGGAGCTGCCAGTCTGGCATCCCTGGTGGCTGCCAGTCAGATGCCAGTGAGGGCTGCCAGTCAGATGCCAGTGAGGCCCCCCAGTTGCTGCAACAATCAAAACCCCCACCGGCATCCCCAGGCACACTCCATCCTCGCCAAGGACGAAGGAACTGTGGTCAGGCCTCCTTCCTGCCTCCGTCAGGACGGGCCCCGTGCGGCCTGGGCAGGGCTGTGCCTCCCCTCGCAGAATGGAGGCTCCTTGAGGTGGGAGCCTGGCAGGAGGAGGATGAGAGTGGGAGCCTTTGGGCTCAGGCCCCGGCTCTGGGGGCAGCTGCACCTGCTGACCCGTGTGTCCTCTGCCTTCCCCCACAGGCTGCGGCAAGATGTGGGACAACCTCACCTGCTGGCCCGCCACCCCCCGGGGCCAGGTCGTTGTCTTGGCCTGTCCCCTCATCTTCAAGCTCTTCTCCCCCATTCAAGGTAAGAGCGCCGGGTGGAAGAGGTGATGTGAGTGGGCCGGCTGCAGTGGGGACTCACCTCTCAGGAAGGGGAAAGGCAAAGGAGAGGTCAGAGGGGCTGGAGCAATCCGAGGGACCCCTGGCAGAGAGGCAACGGTGCTGGGTCTCTAAAGAACCCGTGGGAGTGGATTAGCTCTTCACATGAAGATAAGCATGTGGGCAAGGCTCACTAAATATTTGCTCAGCCATTGATAACTGATTGACTGACAGGTCCTTGACTACATGATGGCTCCCACAGCCCTGTTATCTTGGGCTGGTCGTGATTCATGATGCCTGGCTCCGTGAAGTCACCACGTGACTTTGCTTACACACCTTGTCGTGTTCTACTTCAGTGAGTGTCCACATACAAGGCAGAAGAGAAAGGGGGGCCTCTCGAGCACGTGGGCTTTCTTGCTAGTGAGTCATTGAGGTTCACAATATAGATTCAGTCATTCTTCTGTGCAGTGGATGGAACGCCTGCCGGTGTGCCAGGCACTAGGCTGGACAGACAGTTGGGAGAGGAATAGACAGCCCCTGGGGCTGCTGGCACTGTAACTGGAGAGGCATGTGGGAGACAGACAGATTTATCACCAAGAATGAAAGTGCCGGACGAGGGAATGAGGGGTGTGGGACCCGCTTAAGGCAGGGCTTCACAAGCAGCCCCTCTCTGAGGAGCTGGTTCCTCAGCTGCACTCTGAAGAGCTGCAGGTGAGCAAGAGCACCAGGTAAAGATCCCACATTGCGGGGAATTAAGAGAGAGAATCAGCAGTGGCCAGAGCAGAGAGAACTCCGGGAGGGAGGGAAGGAGGCCGGGAAGGGAGGCACAGGTGGGCCGAGGCCAGGCCACACCTCGAGGACGGAGGCGAAGATTTGAGTTTTCTCCTAAGTCCGGCGAGAAGTGGGGGGCTTTAAGCAGGCGGCTGACGAAGCCCAAGTTAGGCTTTTGACTTCTAACCGGTTTCTAGGCGTGAAAGGCAGGCAGGAAATGCTGATGGTTTGAATTCAGGTAGTGAGCTCTGTGGGAGTGGATGAGGGTGAGGGAGGCTGGGGAGGAAGCCAGCAGGCCCCGCCTAGGCTCGGGTGTAACGAGCCCTGGGGAAGAAAACACGGAGGGAGGAGCAGATCTGGAGGGGGCGCCTCATGAGGAGCAGAACCCAGATAATCATTCAGAGAGCCAGCAGAAAACCCAGGCGTCCCCCATTCCAGGTGGCCTTCTCCTGCCTGGACCCGGGTCCCTGCTTGTGAAGTGGGGATGGCAGTAGCCCCTAGGGTCTCTTTGGGGTGGCCGGTTTGCCCCCAGTACCTGGTGTTGTGACCTCAGTGGGGAAAGACAGACCTTGAAACCCTCCTGAGGAGTCCAGGGGGTCACAGCCGTGCCATACATAGTCCAGGCGGCACCCACCTGGCCCCAGCTGCCTCCTCCGAGGACACCCGGTGCCTGGGCAGATAAGAGGGGAGCTCCTCAGGCCGGCCTCACGGTGCACCCCGTCACTGAGCCTGGAAACCCGCCTTCTCTCTGGCCCCTGGGAGCACCAGCTCATTCCCTTTCTCCCTGACACTAACTGCATTCCTGCCCACGGCGCTTCCTTCTGTCCCTGCTGGAACGTGTCAGGGCAGCTCCTTCCCTTGAGAACCACCATCTGACTAACCCTGGGGCTGCCGGCATCAGTGGGGCCCTGTGGTGCCTTTGGACTGACAATAAAAAGGCAGCCCTTCCTCAGGCAGAGATGACCTCTCACTGGAGCCCACCTAGTGCAAGCAGAATGTTCCTACGGCCAGATGCCCTTGTGCAGTGAACAACTCACACAGCTATACTCTGTGGGCCTGGTCCCTAAAAACGGGGGAGAGAAATAGGAGAGTGAGATTCAGGACTGAAAGCAGAAAAAAGAGGGTGTTCTCCTGAGCAAGTAGATGAAGAAGGTGTGGGCAGCCAACCTCAAATTCCAGAGAGGAAGGTTTGCAAGGGTGGGGCAGGGGCGGTGTGCACCAGCTCACACCCTTTTAGATAGCAGGACCGGGAAGAGGCATGCCCCGGAAGGGACCTGGTTCCACAGGGAAAGCTTACAGAAGGAAGATAAAACTTCTGTGGAGCGTTAGGCAGAAGGCATCCACCTAGGCTGGATGAAATACTGAAGGAGGGAGTTTCGCCAGGCGCACGACAGCACCGAACGTGCATGGTGGCTCACTTGTTCACGTTTGTTTTCATTGTTTGAGATGGAGTCTCGCTCTTCGCTCAGGCTGGAGTGCAGTGGCACCGTCTTGGCTCACTGCAACCTCCGTCTTCTGGGTTCGAGTGATTCTCCTGCCTCAGCCTCCCAAGGAGCTGAGAGGACAGGTGCCCGCCACCACACCCGGCTAATCTTTGTATGTTTAGAAGAGACGGGGTTTCACTGTATTGGCCAAGCTGTTTTCGAACTCCTGACTGCATGATCTTCCCAGACTTGCTGTGTGACCATGAGCAAGTCACTTAACCTCTCTTAGCCTTGGGATCCCCATTTTTTGGTGGGATAATAAAAACTGAGTCTATTCTAGCCTCAACACATTAATGTTTACCTTAACACTCCACACACACACGCCACTACACACACTACACACACATACACACACATACACACACACACACACACTACACACACATGGCATGTGAAGCTGCTGTGTGCATGCCACAGTTACCCAGGCTTGCTGGCATAATTCATGATGCTGGATGCTTGCTGCGTCACTGGGCCTGGACTCCTCAAGCCCTGGTCACTCTGGTGAGTACGGAGCCCAAAGCTTCAGTGTCCGAGCTTCAACGCTGGGTGACTTTGGCCTTAACTCTTTTTTTTTTTTTTTTTTTTTTTTTTCTGAGACAGAGTCTTGCTCTGTCACCCAGGCTGGAGTGCAGTGGTGCAATCTCGGCTCACTGCAACCTCCACCTCCTGGGTCCAAGCAATTCTCCTGCCTCAGCCTCCTGAGTAGCTGGGATGTTGGAAATAGATGCTTCGTGCCTCAAAGAAAAATTAACACTGAGACAAAGGATTTTTCAGCAATGCAATTTTTACTTCCTAGACTGCAAGAAGGTACCCTCGCTAGCCATCGTGCCATGAGAGTACAATGAACAAAGGAAAAACAGACAAATGTATCCCTTGCACATTTGGGGTCGTCCTTACTGCTGTGTCTGAGCTCTGTTGGCTGGAGCCAGACCTCAAAATCTAAACTAAAACCCAACTGGCTAACAACTTAAAACTTTTCTAAACAGGTAAAAGCCATGGAGAGCTGGGACATGCCTGTGAGCACGTCCAGCACAGATATCTTGGTTAAAGTACAAGGACACAGAACATACTACGTGCCTGTAAGCATGGCATGTCCAACAGCTATATAGGATAGGGCTTCACAAAGTTATTAGCACACTTATTCTTTAACAAGAAAGGAAACTTTTAAAAGGCACTTTTCTACTTCCCACATGAGATTACAGGCGTGTGCCACCACACCCGGCTAATTTTTACATTTTTAATAGAGACAGGGTATCACCATGTTGGCCAGGCTGGTCTTGAACTCCTAACCTCATGATCTACCCGCCTCAGCCTCCCAAACTGCTGGGATTACAGGCCTGAGCCACCACACCCAGCCTGTAACCCTCTTTTCTACCTGCCCAAGCCTGGTAGGGGCAAGTCTTCGAAAGAAACAGATTGTGGGTGGGAGCCAGGACCTCAGCTGCCTGCAACTGGGGCTGAGGAAGGGCCTGCCCTTTGATGAGGGCTGGGCTGAAGGCTCTGGGCCAGGCCTACCTCTGGCCGCAATGATGGGAAGCTGAGCAGGGCACACGGGGCAGCTGAAGGCTTTTCTACCATCCTGGCAACCTCTTGCAGCAGTGAGGTTGGGAGCCCTGGGCAGAAAAGGGGATGCTGAGGCAGGAAACGCCCAGGCAATGCCCCTCCTCAGCCACATCCTTCCTGCCCTCCCTGGACCATGTGATGGAAAGGGACCCAGCCCACGGCTGCTCTCTCCTGGCTGTCCCATCCCCACCCCAGGCCGTCCCTCCATTCTTCATCCATGAAACTGGGTGACAAGTCCTCTTTCTAAGGGTTGCCAGGAGGATTTACAGAAATGGTGAATATGGAATAACCTGGTATATTCTGAGCACACGGCAAAGTTTGGAAATAAACACACGTGCCCGGTTACCCTTCCTGAGCTCACAGGACAGACTGACCCTCCCACTGCTCGGCATCTGGCCACTGAAATAAGGTCTCAGGTCACCTCCATGCAGGTGAGAACCAAGCTTACCTGGCAGGACTCTGGAGGCCCGACCAGCAGCATCCTGTCCTCTCTGTGTGGCCCTGGGCAAGTAACCAGCCTCTTGGGGCCTCCACTTCTCAACTGTGAAATGGAGTTACCCTCCTCACTGGATGGTTGAGGAAATTAAACACGATGTGTCAAAAGTGCTCTAACCAGCGCTGCATTTGCAAGGTGCTCAAAACCCGTCGTGGTGATGAGCCTGACCAGGTGCTGCCGCTGATGAAGGCAACGGTGGTGACGGCGGCAGTGATGAACGGGTACTGAGATGGGGAAGCAAGATTCTTCTCTGGCTCATCGACTTTCTGTTCAGCCCATCTTCTCCCTCTCAGAGGAGAGGACACCTCCCCAGTGCTGGAGAGTGGGGAGCCTCAGTGGCGCCTCTCGCCTCGCATCCCCTTAGCGGTCCTGTGCCTTGCTGCAGCTCGGAGCCTCCAAGGACAGTGGACATGCAGCTGCCCTGGAGCCTCTGCTTGTTCCAGCCCCAAGCCCCTGCCTTGCTGTGCTGCCTGATTCCCCGTCACATGGCTTTGTCCGCACAGGTTTCGCTGCCAGGAACTCCCTGCTTCTCTATTCGTGAGGATTTAGGATCTGCACGCTTATCAGGTGTTCCCCAAACCCCATCCCTCCTCACTCCCTTCTCCCTCCTTCCTCTTCCTGCCACCCGCCCCTCAATCCAAGGATGGCTCAACCCGCACCCAACCCCACCTGGCAGCACCTCAAATCACAGTCCCCTCCAGCAACAGATGTTGCTCAGCCTTGCTCCCGCTTCAGCAGCACATCTGAGTCGTACCAGGCATGAGAAGAAACCCAGCCCCACAGGCCCAGGCAGGCTAAGGAGGACTGGGCAGACCTGGCCCCCTCCCCCAGCCATGGCCTTGTGACAAGGGTCAGGAAGCATTCTGTAACGAAGATCCAGGCGGGTCTGTCACAAGGATCAGGGTGTGCGCTGTACATGGGGTCAGGTTCATGTCTGCTGCGATTCTGTCATCCGTGCAGGAGCCCTGAAGAGGCGTGTCCCTGCCCCAGGTGCCCCCTCGGTGCCCTGGGTATCTGGGTCAGGGCAGCTGGAGCCAGACAGCACCAGGGCTGGTGGGGGTAGGGCTGAATGTTCTGCCCTGTTCCAAGCACAGAGACAGCAGGTCCCCACGCCGACCCCGGGGCCCCGCCCTGCTCCCGGCCTCAGCCTCTGCCCTCGTCCCTGCCCTCCACCAGGCCGCAACGTGAGCCGCAGCTGCACGGATGAAGGCTGGACACAGCTGGAGCCCGGCCCCTACCCCACTGCCTGTGGTTTGGATGACAAGGCAGCAAGTTTGGATGAGGTGGGCCTCAGCGCACCCCTACCCCACCTGTGGAGCGCCAGGGCCCACCTAGGCGACTTTGACCTCTCCCACCAAGGGGTGCGGCTGCTGTCTGTGAGGGCGGGACTCTGGAGTCTGCCCTCCTGTAGCATCCTCCGCCTGCCTTTCGGGGGGCCCTCCCCTCGGCTTCCCCCGACGAGGTATGGGAGGAGGGGTCCCCAGATCAGCACAAGCTGAGGCAGCACCCCCAGGCTGGGCCGCCTCTCTGCCTCACGGGAGCCTGACTTCAGCCCGGGAGCTGGCGGGGCAGGCAGACACCAGCACCCCATCCCATCCGTGAAAGCGAGGTGAAAACGAGGTGCTGCAGGTCTCGGAACCAGCCCCAGCTACCAAACAGCCAGTCAGGAACAGGGACAGAGCCTGTCGCCTTCAGTCCCAGGACAGGGATCGGCCTGGAGCAGTTAAAACACAGGTGTTCTCCGTAAGGATTGGGGAGCCTAGTGAGGACACTGCTGGGGAGGCTGGAGTCCTCAGCTAGGAGACCCTCACTGCTTTAGGGTGCAAATGCATGGTGTGTGTCTGCCTGTGATGACATCGCCCACCTTCAGGCACCCTCAGATGGGGCTTTCACTCCACCCACACCCCAAGAGGGCAGCAATTTCCCCAGAGGCCTTTGGAGCCCACTGGAGCTGTGGACCCTGGTCCCCTGTAACCACTTGCCTCTCCTCAGGCAGGGCGTGGTGGGTGGACAGCAAGGAGGGGCTTGTCTAGTGGCTGTCACTCTGCGCTGCGCCTGTGTCCACGGGGAGGGATCAGGAGAGGGGACCAAGCAAGAAACCCTCGGGCCCAGCTCTGCCCTCGTCCCACCGACCCCAGCTCCTGAGAGCCCAGCAGGTCCCCTCTGACGTCCCGCCCCCTCCGCGTGCCTCTCCTGTACAGAGACAGGGTCTTGAGGGGGGTTGAAGAGCAAGCAGACCCGGCCCCCAGGGTGCCCAGTCCAGAGCTGGTGCAGAAGGGGAGCCGGGCACATGGCTGGAGACACGAAATTAGCAAAAGGGACGTGCAAGGTCTTCATTCTTTCTCTCACCAACTTGTCCCTCGTGGAGACACAAGGAGAGAAAGGACATTCAACCCCCACCCCACCCCACCCTCAGACACAGTCCGGCCCCATCTGTGGAAACCAGGGCATTAGGGTCAGGGCATTGAGGAGCTCTGCTCAGCTGCTCTTAGGAGCCCCAGGCCTCAGCCCCATTTGCTGGGGCAGGGACGGGCAGGCGGAGTGTGTCAGGCCCCCCACCCCTGCCAGTCCCCCGAGGTGAGCCTCCCACCCCAGCACCAAGAGCCCCCGTCCTCCAGCAGCAGCAGACCATGTTCTTCGCTTCTGTGAAGACCGGCTACACCGTCGGCTACAGCCTGTCCCTCGCCACCCTGCTGGTTGCCACGGCGATCCTGAACCTGTTCAGGTGAGGCCCAGCCCAAGTGACAGGCCTCAAAGCAGACCTGGCAAGTGTCCCTCCCAGCCTGGAGCCCAGCCTGGCCCAGGCACACCCCAGCCGCTCCACTGTTGCCCCCGGCAGCTCACAGGCCCTAGCTCCTGCCAGGCCAGCCTCCCCTGGAGAAGGCAGGTGGCCAGGCCGCTCCACGTGCTCCAGCCTAGTGTCCCCAGGGTGGCCCTGCGGCTGGGGACAGGGCAGCAGAGGGTGCGGCCTGCACACAGGAATGAGGCTTCTGGGGCCGCACAGGGGCTGACACTTGGGGGCCCAGCTGCACAGGAGGATGGGGCACGGGGGGTGGGACTCGGAGTTCAGGATGGGACCCCCTTCGAGGCATGGCCTGCCCTCTGGGGGCACAGTCTCTGCTACCCAAGCCTTGCTCAGAGCATAGGATGGCATGGGCTGGGGTGGGGTCCAAGGCCCCTTTGGCCTCCCAGATCTGCTCACCCACACAGGAAGCTCCACTGCACGCGGAATTACATCCACACGCACCTCTTCGTCTCCTTCATCCTGAGGGCCGCCGCCGTCTTCATCAAGGACTTGGCCCTCTTCGACAGCGGCGAGTCGGACCAGTGCTCCGAGGGCTCGGTGAGGACCCCAGCCCCTCCCTCAGTCTCGCCCTTATCCTTCGCCACCGTCATCTCTTCTTCTCCCCCTGCTTCTCCCTGTACCCCCTCCCTCTTCCCCCCTACCCCAAGGACGTCCCCACCCCCATCCAACCCCACCTGGCAGCTCCTCCAATCACACTCCCGTCCGGCAACAGGAGATGTTGCTGAGCCATCTGGGAGCTCACAGACCTGCCCCCGCCATTGAGAAAAGCAGATGGGAAATGAGACACTTCATGGCCACAGCCCAGAGCCCCTGTCCCACCTGTGTTGCTAACTTCCTGTGTGGCCCTGGGGAACTTCCTGCCTCAGCTTCCCCATCTGTGCCAGGACGTCCAAGATTCCTTCCAGCCCTGCCCTCTGCCAGCTGCATAGCCAGGGCTGTGCGCACCATGCCACTTTTCATGCCCCTCCCTGTGCCGTCTGGAGTGCGCCCAAACGTACGGGGTCCTCCTCTTGTGTTCAGATCCTGCCGTCAGGCTGGTCCTGGGCTTTCCTGGGGAAGGGAGGTAAAGGGAGAATCTAAGGAATGCACTGCCAGTCACCAAGGGGGCCATCCCCAAGGGATTCTGAGGGACCCTCTGAGTGCCCCAAGCTTTGACAGACAGCCCCGCTCATTCCTTGTGGTCGGTGACTCACTGGTTCATGCGCGACCCCAGAGGCAGTGCGTTGTATCAGGGGTCAGCAGTACCTTCGCCCCAAAGAGCAAGATAATCACGCTGGAATCTCAGGCATTTCAGCAAAGGGGAGAGAAAACCCAGGGGAGCAGCCTTGGCCATTCCCAGAGGTTCTGCCCGGGAGCTGGGAGGCTGCGTCAGAGGCGCAGTGGGAGCCACAGGCCTGCGGAGGAACGTGTTGCCTCCTGAGCACATGTTAAGGATAATTGTGGAGACTGATTCCTGATTCATTACTGGGAAGCTTTTCTAAGACAAGGAGGAAGCAGATAACTGGTCCTGATAAAGAGCTGAGTTATTCTCCAAAAGCGAGTGGGGGGAAGACGGGGAGGCAAGAACTCCTGTCACTGGAGAGACTGAGCAAGATCTGAGGAAGGACTTCCCAACCAAGGGAGGAGGTGGGCGCAGGGAGGGGAGGCTTCTTGCTGAGGATGTCTCAAGCCAAGGGTGCAGGAAGGAAGGGTGGCAGCCGGTACTGTGGGTACAGGGGGAGGTGAAAGCCAGAGTTTCTGGGAGGAGGGTGGCGTTGAGCCTGGCTCACAGACACCTAGGCTTGACCTGAAAAGGGGGACTTTCTGGGAGGGGACAAAAGGCCCAGAATACCTTCCAGTCGTGTCCTGGGCCAACCAGAGCCCGTGATTGCCCTACTCACGGGTCTCCCTGAGGACTCCCTTCTTCCACTAGGTCCTCTGAACCCAGGGGGAATGGCCGCCCTCCCCTCTTCTCCTCTTCTTCATTTCTACTTCCCCTGTCCCACCCTCTTCTGGGTCCCAGTCTCCCTCCACACTTCCCTCTGGGTCCTACCCCACAGTCCACAGCCCGCCCTGCACACTCAGCAGACTCTTGCAAAGTCAAGCAAGAATTCTCCCTCATACCTTCCGGCTACCTTCAGTGCAAACTGGCATTGGATGAATGAGTGGCTGGAGTGGGGTGTGGACGGGCAGGTTGGTGGCTGGCTGAATAGGCAGGAGGCTAAACGGGCAAGGAAGACTGGACAGATGGTGGGCAGAGGGGCGGGTAGGTGGCTGGGCAGTTGGCGGGTGGGTGTAGAGATGGATGGGTATCTGGCTAAGTGAGCAGGCTGGTAGGTGAAGGGAGCGATGGGTGGGTGGGTGGACGGACTGACAGAGGCAAAGGTAAATCGATGCTGGATGGATACGTGGATGAAACACTGCGAGTTGACAGTGGGTGAGTGGGGAAAGAAATGGTACATGAGTAGGTGGGTGGGTAGATGCTCAGCTGAGTAGATGGATACATACATAGATGGGAAGTGAATCGATGAACTGACGGATGGAGAATTAAAATCACTAGGTTATCCCAAAGTATCAAATGACCTCAAATCAGGGAAAATGGGAAAACCACGGAGCACATTTTTAAGGGGAGGAAGCAGGAGCGGCCGGGATGAAGCTGGCTGCACTGGCCCTTGCTTCTGCCCCAGGCACGGGCACGGCCATCAGGGACGCTTGTCTCCCCTGCAGGTGGGCTGTAAGGCAGCCATGGTCTTCTTCCAATACTGCGTCATGGCCAACTTCTTCTGGCTGCTGGTGGAGGGACTCTACCTGTACACCCTGCTCGCTGTCTCCTTCTTCTCTGAGCGGAAGTACTTCTGGGGGTACATACTCATCGGCTGGGGTATGGTACCAGGGAGGGCTTCCAGGCTGGGGACAGAGGGGCCAGGCCTGGAGAACTCCCCAGGGGGAGGGTGCCCACCCAGCTTGCAGTCCTAGGTCTCTCTAAGCTGCGGGTCCTGCCTTCACGGATGTCAGCTAAGGATGGAGAAAGTCCTCAAAATGTGGAGCCCAGGACAGGCCCCTCAGCCGGCAGCTGCTCAGGGCTGACCTGTGGGACAGATTCTGTGAGCATCCTTCCCGCTCCCTTCAGCCCCTGAAGTACGCAGGGCCACTGCTCATCTGCAAAGGGCCTCTGTCACGATTAGAAAGAGACTGTCTGTCTAAGGAGACACAGCCCTTGAGGGACACAGCTTCATGCCCCGCGGTGAACAGCCTGTCGACCGCAGGCCTGAAAACTGCCCCTTTCTCTCGCCCTCCCTCTCTCTGGTTCTCTGCAAAATCTCCCTCGTGCCCTCTACCCCTGCCTCCTGTGCCCTCTGCCCGGGCCTGACAGGGGTGCCCAGCACGTTCACCATGGTGTGGGCCATCGTCAGGATCCATTTTGAGGATTACGGGTGAGCTGCCGCCCCCTCCCCCACTCCCCTGCTGCAGTCACCTGGGCGGGCCCCCTGGGTGGGATGATAATGCCACCTAGCCTTGCTGAGTGCACAAAAACCACGGCACTCTGTTCAGAGGGGAGGCTGGAAGGAGGACCTGGGGAGCAGCGGACTCTGGGCCGGGGGTGCTGAAGGGCTCAGGAGCAGAGCTGCGGACAACTGTGGAGGGTGCTGCTGACTCTGGCTGAGGACAGCCCTGTCATTCCTCCCCGACTCTGCTCAGGTGCTGGGACATCATCGATTCCCCCCTGTGGTGGATCATAAAGGGCCCCATCCTCACCTCCATCCTGGTAAGGCACCCTCCCGCCACCCAGAGATGGGGAAACAGCCCCAGGTCACACGGGAAGTTAGTATCTAGGTCAGAACTGAAACCCAGCTTCCCAATGCCCAGTGCAGGGTCACCCACCCCTGTCCCCCAAGCTGCTCCTTGAGAGTAGGCGGTTAGGGAGCACAGTCCTCAGGGAAGTGAAGGAGGTGGGGCTCCCAGGTGACCTGCCCAAAGCCAGAGGCAGCAGGACCCTGGGAAGGTGATCCCGCACCCCGGCCTTCCCGCCCTGGCTGCTGACCTCGGTCCCCACCCACTAGGTGAACTTCATCCTGTTTATTTGCATCATCCGAATCCTGCTTCAGAAACTGCGGCCCCCAGATATCGGGAAGAGTGGCAGCAGTCCCTACTCGTGAGTGTGGCCCCGGTGCCTATCCCCAGGCCCTAAGTCATCCCACAGCTCCTTGAAGCCTTTCCACCCCAAACATCCGGAGTCACCACAGAGCCACGTTGCTCATGCCCACCTCCACCATGGCCTGGCTCAGCCCTCCAGCCCCCTGCCCCAGCCCCGCCCTCACCGGGTTGTGCTCAGAGCCCCCTGGACGCTTCTGCTGCCCACACTCATCTGGCACCCTTCCCAGGGATGCCTCTGCTTCCAAGCCAGGGAGCTGGAGAGAACGCCGATGAGCTGCGTCCTGTTCATGCCACGTCCCCGGCATGGAAAGGGGCCACCAAGCACACAGCAGATGCACCGCTAAGGGGCCAGTCCGCCAATGAGACACACATGTTCAACAGTCAGTATTTCTTAGTAATAATGATGACACCTGCAGTTTACATGCCAGACACATGCTAAGGGATTTCCATGCATCGTGTCATTTCATCCACACAGTTCCTAAAATTATCCTCATTTTACAGAGAGGAAACTGACATACACGCCCTCCTCCTCGAGGGTTTTGGAGCATGTCACCATGGGCAGGGAGAAGGGGGCACCAGGGCTTGTGTGGACCAGGGCTTGGAAAGGTGTCAGGACTGTCCCCTGTGCTTGGGAGGAAGAGGCAGGATTTTGTGGGAGCAACATGGCTCGAAGACAGAGCTAAAGAAACAGGAGCAACGTGGAAAGGGAGGCTGTGGAAGGCACGCAGAGTCTGCACGCTCACGGCAGGGAGCAGGAGATGCAGCATCAGTGTTGTGCCCACAGACAGACCTGGGGCGCCCCGCAAGGCCTCCGGTCCTGGGATTCTAGAATGGTCTTCCTGGCCTGGCTTCTCTGCAGAGTCTGTGCTATGGTTCTAAGATTCCTGGCGCGAATGTCACATGCTACTGGATTTAGGATTCTATTCTGGAATCCTGTGATTCTCCCTGATGAGACTGAGACTCACATTCCTGGTGTGGCTGCATTTGTAGGCGGAGCTCCCTCCCTGTCTGAGAAGGAAGGGCTCCTGTGGGGGTCCGCAGGCTGCCAAGGGGCAGCACATCAGGCCTGGCTCCCTCGTCCTCTCCTTTGCCGATGGGACCTTATTTCCCCCAACTTACAACGATTCCAAAGGGCTTGAATCTGAGGCCAACAGAGCTGGCCATGGGCAGAGCCAGGTCTGTGTGGGTGAGACAGAAAGGAAACAGTTGTCAGCAGGCAGAAGGGGTGGGGGCAGTCAGAGACGGAGCTCCTCAAGGAGAGGCTCTCAGCTCCCACTCTCCACCTCCCCAGGAGCCTTCGCTTTAAAGAAAGGCTCCATCTGTTAGCCTCTGGTGCGTGGGATAGTTTTGCAGCCGGAGAAGGGTGGGCAGTGCTCAGGATCTTGGCGTAGCTGGGGACCAGGTCTGGGAAGGAGTGGGAGGGCCAAGGCCAGCTCCTCTGCCCCCAGCTTGCTGTGGGACCTTAAGCCTTGGGCTAGGCTTTCTTGGACTGACTGCTAAGGCAGCAGAGACAGAGTCAGAGACCTTCCCTAGCCACACCCCACCTCTCCTAGCCAGGGAGCAATGGGCTCACACTGCCTGGACCAGCTGAGTTCAGGTGGCTGGGAAGCCTGAATCAGGAAGAGAGCACCCTGGGCTCTGTGAGAGGGATAAACATTTAGAATGAATGCTGACCCTGCTGAGCACACACAGCTGTGAAGGAGGAGCCGGTCCTTCAGAGCACGCTGCGGGCCTATGCAGTGGTGTGGGGGGGGGGGGAGGGGATGCAATCCCAGAGAAGGCAGCAACTTCTGGAGAAGCAGACAGCAGAAAAAACAAAGATAGAGGGTGATAGTGATTCATTCTGGGTTGTCCCTGGTGATCAGGCATGAGCTTGGGTCCCCGTCACCCTCCCAAGTGGTCAGCACCCCAGTCAGAAAGACTTGCTTCCTAGTACATCTGCCCGGGAGAGAACTGGCCTCTCATGGATGCACTGCACCTTACCCTACCCAAAACACTTCGGCGCTCATAGCGGGCCCGCTCTGTGATCTATGTCAAGCATGCACTTACTACAGTATATGAATTGGAAAAGCTGAGGCCAGGAGAAAGGGAACCAGGAGCTCCTGCTGCCTGAGAGATTTTCCACTGCCCTTATTGCTGAGAGTATCCTCTTCCATGATAGTGAGGTAAGCCCCTCCCAGGCCGGGGGTCCCAGGCAACAGATCACCCCGTAGTGGATTTCAGCTCACATGTCCCTGTGGCGTCATTCCCACTGGCCTCTCCTTTACCTCTTACCCTCTCTCCTCCAGAAGGGTGAGAAGAGAGGGGGCTTCCTTCCAGGCCAGGAGGGCTGGGGGCATGAGGACAGATGCACCGTGGCTGTGGAACAGGAACAGACATACTATTTAGGGGGACTCACACTCCATCTTCACACATCCTGGTCACTGTCCCCATCTTCCGTGCCTCCAGCTCCCCCATGCCAGGCTCCACCATATCCACATGTATGGACACAAGCCCATGGCCTGCCCACCCCCCGCCTCCAGCCACCATATCCACGTGCGGACACACATGCCCACAGCCTGCCTCCCCATCTCCAGCCACCATATCCACATGTGGACACATGCCCACGGCCTCTCCCCCCCATCTCCAGCCACCATATCCACATGTGTGAACACATGCCCACAGCCTGCCCCTCCCCCATCTCCAGCCACCATATCCACGTGTGAACACACATGCCCACGGCCCGACCCCCTCCCCGTCTCCAGCCACCATATCCATGTGTGGACACATGCCCACGGCCTGCCTCCCCTGTCTCCAGGAGGCTGGCCAGGTCCACACTCCTGCTGATCCCCCTGTTCGGAGTGCACTACATCATGTTCGCCTTCTTTCCTGACAATTTTAAGGCTGAGGTGAAAATGGTCTTTGAGCTCATCGTGGGGTCTTTCCAGGTACGGACTGTTGACTTAAGGCTGCATTCTTCTCTGGCTTTTAATGGAATTCACCCTGGAGTCTTGGCCCTTGCCACTGGATTCCAATGTTTTTACTGTAATAAGTATTAGATAAGCACCTACTTTGTGCTTAGCTCTTTCCTTAACCAAGGGAACATAGGGGCTGGAGCCAAGGGTGGGGCAGGGTGGGGGGCTTCTGGTGTCTACCTCACCTCTCCTGTCCCCTTCCTTCCCAGGGTTTCGTGGTGGCTGTCCTCTACTGCTTCCTCAATGGTGAGGTAAGCCCCTCCCAGTCCTTGGAGCTCAGACAATGGAACTCCCAGGACCAGGGTCCAGAAACCCTGACGGGATCTGTGCAGAGCAAGGACAGGTTAAACTTGCTACTCCAGTACGGTCCTCAAGACTAGCAGCACTGGTGTCACCTAGGCCCTTGCTAAATCGCGCGTCTCGGTGACCACCCCAGGCCTGCTGGCTTGGAATCTGCATTTTAATATTATTAAAAACAAAAACAGGTTTTTACTAATCCCCGGGGGGATTCCTGTGCACAGCCGAGTTTGGGAAACACCTAGCTAAGTGGCTGTGTGCTGTGAGGGGGGAATCCCAGTGAGGGTCGAATTGCTGCGGAACTCTGGTTACAATGCACAAAAACCCACTCAAGTGAGCTGGAGGGCCTGGATGGGAAGAACTGGGGTACAGTCACCCCTAGGCAGCATCCTGCTCCCTCCCTGGACTGCATTCTCGGATCCTCTCTGCCTCTCACCTCCTACCATTCCAAGGCCTCCTTTTGAACCTGGCCTCAACCCAGTCCCAAGTTTGCACCACCCAAGGCGGCATCGGGGTCTCTCCATTTTGATATCCTAAAGAGGATAAGCCTGGCTAGTTCAGAACCCTAAGTCCAGAGAAGCCCAATCCGCAGTGGAAGAGGTTCCACAGCAGTGGGCCTGACCACCGTACCCTCTCCTAGGTGCAGGCGGAGCTGAGGCGGAAGTGGCGGCGCTGGCACCTGCAGGGCGTCCTGGGCTGGAACCCCAAATACCGGCCCCCGTCGGGAGGCAGCAACAGCGGCACGTGCAGCACGCAGGTCTCCATGCTGACCCGCGTCAGCCCCGGGGCCCGCCGCTCCTCCAGCTTCCAAGCCGAAGTCTCCCTGGTCTGACCGCCAGGATCCCGGGGCCCTTCCCACTCACCCCGGCAGATGCCGGGGACAGAGGCCTACCTGGGCGCGGCCAGCCCCAGCTCTGGGCTCGGAGGCTGCCCCCAGCCCTCTGGTCTCCGGTCCGGACGCTCCTGGAGAGCGCAGCCCTAGTGCCTGCCTGGAGGTTTCTAGCAAGTAAGAGAGGCGGGAGCTCCTCTCCTGGAGGGCTGTAGGTGGGACTCAGCCACGACTCCTCCTCCAAAGCCCTCCACCAATCACGGGCTAAGGCCTGCACACTTTCATCCTGACTCCACCCCCTGCAGGTGGGACTCAGCCACCAGACTCCTCCTCCAAAGCCCTCCACCAATCAAGGGCTAAGGCCTGCACACTTTCATCCTGACTCCACCCCCTGCAGGTGGGACTCAGCCACCGGACTCCTCCTCTAAAGCCCTCCACCAATCACGGGCTAAGGCCTGCACACTTTCATCCTGACTCCGCCCCCTGCGGGTGGGACTCAGCCACCGGACTCCTCCTCCAAAGCCCTCCACCAATCACGGGCTAAGGCCTGCACACTTTCATCCTGACTCCGCCCCCTGCTAGCTCCTCTGCCCAATCGGAGGAAAGCAACCTGCGATCCTTAGACCACGCTGGTGAGATCCGAGTGCGAAAGGTTCTGCCCGGGAAGATGACCGGCGCCAACGCCAGGCAGTGCCCGAAATTTCACCACTGCTGTCACTCAGGCATTTCTCCGAAGATACAGCCCTCTGCCCTGTGGCCTCACGCTTAGCTACCAGCTCAAGGCACGTTATTCTGGAGTTTTCGAGGAGCACAGCTGTCTTAGTGGTCGCCACCGAGGTGGGGTGGCCCGGGGTCAGTCTGGTGGGGAACGAAGCCATGCGAGGCCGAGGGGCTCTGAAGCCTCTGGGAAGGGAGGAGGCAGCCACGGGTGAACGCTGGGCCTCGGACGGACTACCTGCTCTCCAGTCTGTCGAGCGGGATCTTCGCACCACCAGCCTTACCCATCCCTCTGCGCTGTGGAAGCCACAGGAATCAAGAGCTGCCCTCCGTGGCCGCCCACCTATGTGCCCGCGGCTGTAACTAGGCTCGGAGATGTGTGCCCGTGGGCTCTGACGGCGAGCAGATGCCTCCCCTGCCACACACGCGGGATTCGAACTCAGATCTGGCTGACAGGAAAGGGAAAGCACACTCACTGCTAACTTTTGTATTTTGTAACCAGCGGATCATCTCGGTTATTTGTTCACTGCTGTTACCCCTGAATCCCCCTTCCTGCCCCACCCCACCCTCCCTGCAGTGTGGCCGAGGCGGCCTCCAGACCATGTATCACCCGGACAGGAGCCTGCCGGCCATGGCCCCCTCTGCCTGCCCTTCACCCAGTGGCCACTCAACTTCCTACCCACACCTCCGCCAGAGGATCCCTCAGGGCTGCAACAGGCTGTGCAGCAATAAATGTTGGCTTGGACCGGCTCGGTTCCCCTGGTGGTTGATGTTCTCATGTGGCCTAAAATAGGACCAGCTTCCGCTCAAAGGATGGGTGGTCTTAAACAGTGCCGGGACCAGATGCCACCACTCTTTTGGCTTTTGACAGAAATCCGTATTTTCATATGAGACATTCACAGTTCTGTCTGAGGCCTTCAACTCCCGTCTTTCTGAATGGTACCCTGTCCTCTGAGTGATGGAGTCAGACCAGGTGCCCTCTCCCCACTCCTTAAATCCAGCCAAGAAAAGACCATCCTAATCTTAGTTTGACTCCAAACAGCTGGCAGAGCCACCCGGGGTCTCGGGGATGGCTGAGTGTGAGTGCTTCACAGGCCGCAGTCACTCCTGCAGACAAGGTTCTGCAAATACCCCGGGCTCAGCCAGAGGAGGCAGGTAGTGGACAAAGCAGATGTCACCAACACAAGCTGAGCGAGCAGAGACAATGTACCTCTCATGAGAAGGTTTAAACACAGGCAGTACGGCAAATAACGTCGGTCAGCAGGAGATGTCTCCAAAGCCGATGGCCACGCTGACCTTCTTGGGTCCCACCTCCTGCGAACTTGCTAGAGGAGCAGGAAAGGGATGCCAAGCTGGTGACAATGTGGTCAGCGTGGGCTGGCGAAGGCTCAGATCTGCCTGCAAGGCTTCTTTAAAGCCTTGTCTGACCCAGTACATCCCAGGACCCATCATCAATGACAGTTCCAACCCAGCATCCTCAGAGGCCAGAGTCAGGGGTGTTCAGGCCAGGAGAGAAGTGACTGTGATTCATGAGGCGCCCCCAGGGAAATGCCCTTGGCTCAGTGGGGTGGCACGTTTTCCCCATCTGGAGTCACACTGCACACTCTGCCCTGTGCATGGTCAGCCATAGGACCAAGAAGGAGGCATTCTCCCTAACTTTGACCTCAGGCACCCCCAGGCCTGCCAGAGAGACCATTCTTAGTAGCCCTCCCCCGCCCCCGCCCAGACCATCAGTGGTGACCACCAATGAGGTTACTGAGCGTCTTTTTTTTTTTTTTTTTTTTTTTTGAGATGCAGTCTGGCTCTGTCCCCAAGGCTGGAATCTCCGCTCACAACAATCTCCACTTCTCAGGTTCAAGCGATTCTCCTGCCTCAGCCTCCTGAGCAGCTGGTACTACAGGCAAGTGCCACCACACCTGGCTCAGTGGTTTCACCATGTTGGCCATGGTGGTCTCGAACTCCCGACCTCAGGTGATATGCCTGCCTCAGCCTCTCAATGTGCTGTGATTACAGGTGTGAGCCGCTGCACCCAGCCTACTAACCCTGAGCATCTTGCATGCCCACCACTAGGTTTCCAAGGCATAGGAGTTCAGAGATAGGGGACAGTCTCTCCATGCTCCCCTCACCCAGCTGGGGCACATCTCGTGCGCTCTCTCTCTCTCTCTCTCTCTCTCTCTCTCTCTCTCTCTCTGGTTTCCCTCCTCCCACTCTCTACTCGGTGCTCTCTGAACGGCTTCCAGGGACCTTGTCCACCCCATACTTCTCAGTAAGGTCCAGAATACCCAGCACTTGTCAACTAATCCCAATTCTGCTTCAGACTTTCTCCAGATCATAGCAGGTCCCTCCTTCTGAGTGTGAATCTCGCCATCCGCCTGCACAATAGGGAGGTTTCTAGATGACTCTGCTTAGCCCCTGGTGGCCAATGGGGAGGGGCTGCCCAGAGCCTTCTGCCACCCACTCTGCCCCCTGAGCTTAAGGGGAGGACCTCAGATGGTGGGGGGAACCCCAAGCAGTCAGGCGCTGAGGCATACACAGAAGATGGAGGCTGTGCAGAGAACAAAGTCTGAGACCTGGCAGGACTCCTTGAGAGATGAGCTCAGGCCAGTAGAAGAGAGGAGGAGGGAGCGGGGCATAGAAATGCAGAGGAAAGGACAGCACCCGGCCTTCCAGGTTAGCGCCCTGCAGGCTGCCTGGACCGTGTGTAGGCCCAGAGGGGCCCCCATCGCACTGCACCCACCCCACCCACCACAGTGCCTCATAGTCCCTCACCTGTGTGTCATGGCTTCAGAGTTAGGCAGGCAGCCTGGGTAGGGGACCAGTCATCAGCCAAGAGCGTGGAGAGTGGACGAAGCGGAGAGCTGGGATGTGGGCAAGCAAAGGGACAGAGGTGGGCCCTTCTCAGAAAGGTGCCCGGGAAGGGCCAAGCTTAGTGATGGGCACTCAAGGATGGCGAGAAGCTGAAACAGTCTCCCGGGCTGGGGCAGCCGTGGAATGGGGTTGGCCACAAGCAGAACTGCTCCGGGCCCCGCCTCCTCCCCCAGTCTCAGGTCCCTTGCCAGGCACCTGCCGGGGAGGCCAGCTCGTCTCTATCGCCCCCTGGTGGATGTTTCAAGGACTTCACTAAGGTTGGCCTTGGGCCCAAACACCTGGGTGGGGGCCAAGTGACCCAGAGAGCGGGCCTCTCTCCTGGGTGCCACGCAGAGTGAGGCACAAGAGGGAGGCAGTGAGGCCACGGACTGCTTCTCAGGCCTAGAGTGAAATAAGGTGACCCAGAGCCTGGGCCTGCGACCCACTGACCTCTCTGCACACAAAGCCTGCCTCACGCCCAGCGGTAACCCCCGGGCAGAGCCCACCCTGACTGGCCACAGGCTGGACTCTAGCCACTGACTGAGCCCTCAGCCTAGCCCCTGAGGGCAAAGCCCAGCTGACTCACGTGGGTCCCTCCTGGGAGGACAAGGACAAGAAGTGCCCCCCATCCCCGTGCACAGAGCCACCATCCCTCCACACAGAGGCCACCATGTTGGCGATTCCTGCCACTCCAGGACACAGGCTGCCCAGGGAGGGTGGCCAGTTTGCCAGCAGAATGGATAGGGGACAGTGTCTCAGGGAGGCAACATTGAGGTGATCTCTGAGGACTAGGTAGGGGTCTCTGGGTACCAAGGGAACACGATGGGTGCCAGGGATACCTGAATCCAAGTGGGCAGGCATCAGGGGTCCCTTCCCACAGAAGCACAGTGCAGGCTTCCTAACTGAGGCCGAGGGGCGAGGCTGGGTTTGGGGCAGGCCACTCTGGCTGCTAGAAGTGCCCAAGAGGCAGCCCGGGGGAAGCTGCCAGTGCCCCTCCAGGTGGGGAGGAGGAGGGCTGGGGGAATGACGGCCTGGTGTGGGACGTGCTGAATGTCATGTCTGCGAGACTCTGGGGAGAATCTCCAGAGCTACTGGAATCAGGACCTAAAGTGCCAGGGCTCAGGCAGGTGGGGACACCAGGGCAGCCCCCTTGGGGAGGGTGTGTGGAAACTGTATATCCCCAGGCACTCCCATCTGCTGTGCTGGCGGGGTGGGGGGAAGAGTCAGAGTCAGCCCATTCCCAGCACTCACCCAGGGCCTTTTAACGAACCCACCCTCCCACAATGTGGGAACAGGAACCGCTCTTACCTCTCCGGGGGGAGCCGGAGCCACAGCTGGCAGTCATTAAACACCCTGACCAGGCTAGGGATGGCCAAGATATTAATAGCTAGGAGCCAATGACCCTGGAGACACAGCCTCCTAGGAAGAGGGAGAGTAACCCCAGCAGGCTATGGGGACAAGGAAGACAGGTCAGAAGGCCCCCCCACAATGCCCCAGCCTCTACACAGGACAGATGGGGTAACCAAAGGCCAGAGAAGGGAAAGGACTTGCTTGAAATCACCAGGAAGGTCACTGATAGAGCCTGGCCTTGAATCTGGTTCTGCAAACCCCACAGCCCTGCCTCTTCCATTACACAGACGTCTCAGGTGAGACCATCAGGGGTGCCCTACATGGAAATATGTGAAGAGCAGGTCTAATTAGTGACACTGAGTCTTTGTTTAAAATCTTGAAATTTTGCATATTATGCATGTTTTACATTAATTTTAATATTTAAAAAATATCAGATTAGGCCAGGGGCGGTGGCCAGTCATCCCAGCGCTTTGAGAGACTGTTGGCCTTGGGCCCAAACACTGGGTGGAGGCCCATTCCTAGCAGGCCAAGTGACTCAGAGGGCAGATCACGAGGTCAAGAGATCAAGACCAGCCTGGCCAACATGGTGAAACCCCGTCTCTACTAAAAATACAAAAATTAGCTGGGCAGGGTGGCACAGGCCTGTAGTCTTGAGAGACTGAGGCAGAAGAATCACTTGAACCCAGGAGGCAGAGGTTGCAGTGAGCCCAGATTGCAGCACTGCCCTCCAGCCTGGGCAACAGAGCAAGACTCCGTCTCAAAAAACAATGGCCTTGATCACCGAGGGTTTTCCTGTTTGCTTGTTTGTTGCCAGCCTTTCGGTTTTGCCCCTGAGGCAGCATCCCTGGGTCCCAGGATGTCAGCATGGAAGGAACGCTGGGGAGCTCCGGACTGGTCTCCGTGTGGCTCAGAGGGAAAGGGTCTGCCAGGGAGACGCCTACTAGAGGGAGGCAGCTCCAGGCAAATTCAGTGGCTCAGCAGATGTGGGATTTTCTATCTGTCCACACTGCCACCTCAGGATGTGGCCTCTCACCCTCAGACTTACCCCTCATGACGGCACGATGGCTGTCACTGTCCAAGCGTCACGTTCCCACAGAACTGGCAGGGAGGAGAATGTCGTCTATGTGTTTCCTTTTATCAGGGACGATCGTCTGTCTCAGGAGGTGGCACTCCGTTCTCAGGCCAGGATTAGGTTACATACCTAAACCACAGCTGCAAAGAGAGGCAAGGGTTCTAGGCTGGGCACAGAGGCTCATGCCTGTAATCCCAGCACTTTGGGAGGCCAAGGCAGGCAGATCACCTGAGGTCAGGAGTTCGAGACCAGCCTGACCAACATGGAGAAACCTTGCCTCTATTAAAAATACAAAACTTAATCCCAGCTACTCAGGAGGCTGAGGCAGGAGAATCGCTTGAACCCGGGAGGTGGAGGCCGCAGTGAGCTGAGATGGCACCACTGCACTGCAGCCTGGGTGACAGAGCCAGACTCTGTCTCTAAATAAATAAAAAAATAAAGGTGAGTTATTACCAGCCCGGGCATCATGGTGAGAACCCAC